TCAGGAGGTGTATTGATGTAATATAAATGAGTGCTGAATCTTGCCCTGCCTGCCCCCCACTATGCTTATTAACAAAACAAGGAAGAACCAATGGAAAAATCAAGAACTGGTATCTTGGGAAATGTGTGGGCTAGTTTTCATATATTAGCAGGGTCTGATTTCCTCCATAAATTCAGGGGAGTTATCTCTACAAGTCCCTTGTTCCTAAATACTCAGGCCATATCGGCCCCTTGTAAGGGTATATCCACTATTCTTGACAGCTGTAATTGGCCCTGTACTAGGGTTTTGCCATAGATGAGTTATTCCTACAACAATTCTCAAGGATCCACTGAAGTCCGCTTATAAGCCACGTTGCTGAGACTCATACTTGGGATCTATTTGATCCCCAAAGACCTATATTATAGAGCTCTTCAAAATACCTCAATGAAGAGGGAGAAAAATGCATTGGTTATCTGCAGCAATGCCCGTCTTGAAAGTATAGGAGAGGGGCGCCTGGGTGGCTCAGGCGTCAAGCGTCTGCCTTTGGCACAGGTCATGATTCCAGGGTCCTGGGATCGAGCCCCACATCGGGCTCCCTGCTCTGCGGGAAGCCTGCTTCTCCCTCTCCCACTCCCACTGCTTGTGTTCCCCCTCTCGCTGTGTCTCTCTGTCAAATAAATAAATAAAATCTTTAAAAAAAAAAAGTATAGGAGATAAGCAAAACTTTGTTTACATCTTAATTACTATTATCATGATTTGCCTGTGTCAGATATAAAGTGTCCTGATGTGTGGCTAGCATGTTCCTCAGTTTTGTTTTTCTGGAATTTCTGTAGCAAATTTCAGATCATGGCCTAATATACATGCTATGTGCCTCAGGCATGAAGTTAGGCCCTGTAGAAATGTATACAGACTCTTTATGAGGCAATATTTCCTTCACTCTTGATAGAGCACAGAGAAATTTGTAACCAAAACCATAGTCAGAGAACTAAAAAAACAGTAACTGTTTATAAACCAGTCCATGAATATTCATTCTAATCACTATATAGTAATCAATTAGTATACACAGCAAGAACAATATAAAATCTGAGGCTACAGATTGCAGAACTGAATAAATCATCATTTTTAAGAGACATAACTGAAGATAATATATTTTCCTTTCTGGATGAAAATTTATTTTATGTTCCCTGGTGGAATACATATAAAGAAGAAATACACAAAAGGCAAAAATTGGACCTAAATGTCCATTCCTACATATACAGGTCAAGAAAAGCATTACTCACATAATTGGATATTCATTGCCTTGTTTGCTTAAGACTGGCAAACAAAAACGTGAGTCTGCCAAATTTCCCAATGTTTTGCACAGTGCAGTGGGCCTTTAAAAAATACACAGTAATGCATTAATCTAACACTACTACAAAGGTTTAATGATTTTTCTGGTTATTTCCTAAGTTTACCTTTCATAATATCAAGTGGTATATATAATGTGTTTTGGTAGTTTGAATTACAAGTGTGATGTTTCAACTAATTGTGGCCAAAAGCAAAATGCCAATCAGGATGAAAAGCTTCTAAAAACAAACTAAACTGAAACTATTAAAAATGTAAAAGAGAGTAACCATAGTGATGCTAATTTAAAATGATCACTGATGAAACATTTCTTATAATCAATGTCGGACATCTGCTGTATCTTTTTCAGAACTGTTTTAAGTTATTCATTACTTCATCCTTTAAAGTTTCTGACATCTTTAATGAGAGAACACATAAAAATAATGGTGGTAGTGTGAAGAAAACTTAGATGCGATGCTCAACAAACTGCACATGTGTGTATATACACGTGCGTGCATGTGCATGCAGGCTCACAGGCAGATCCTACTCTAGACCTAAAATGGCTGAGTTGCAGGATGTTGTTGCTTGGTGACCAAACAGTATCTCCTAAGCCACAGAGTCATTTAAACAGTGATAGATATGTCCCCTCAGCTTTAGGCATGGCCAGGACAAATATTAAGGGGCATGTTTATCTTTTCTAGTATTCTACATTTTCATTTTAAGTCAGTTGTCACTTGCTTGATTTTCTCAGCAATTAAATTCAGATTTTAGGGGAAAGAGTATTTGTAACCCTACCACTGTCATTTTAAGAAAATAAGAGGTAGAACCAAGCTTCTTTCAAACTGAAAGATAGTCCTGTTTCAGTTAAGTCTATGTGGTGTGTCTACTCTGTTCTGCTACGACCTCCCAGTTGCTATCAGTCTCCCTTTCTTTCATTAAACACCAGCAGTTAATTAGCCCCAGCCTGTCTCTTCCCTTCTCTCTGTCCCTTTTCAAGGTAGTAATGATGTCTAATTACCAGCAGCAGTGGGTCACTGCAACGTCAGGCGCAAATCTCTCTCACTGACAGCAGAGTCAGCCGCAAACCCTCAAACCTCAGACAGCTAGAATGATTCTCAGTCTACTTGAAAATACCAAATACAGTACTTTATTTCAGCCAAGATATGCTTTTGACATAAAAATATGTTTCTTGTCTTTCTGGTGGATTGTATTCCCGCTATTATAAAGAAAATCTTATTTTTAAGGAAGAGATAATTTGAGACTCGGAGAAACCCATGATAAAAGGGGAACCTTTTATTTATTTTTTAACTTGTTGAAATGATGATTGGCTGTCTTTCAGGGAAGGCGGAGCCTATAATTCTATGTAAGGAGCAGCATAAAATTTTCATAAAGAGCAATAGAAGAGTTCATGAATTAAAAACCTCTTCAACATTTCAAAACAGGCTTGAATGAAGAGCAAATCTCTTAAATACTACATGGAAACCACTATCTAAGAACACCACCTGATGAATTACATTTTCTCCCATAAATATATGGAATCTTTACTGAAAAGGGAAACATGTGTTACTTTATTGTTAACGCTGGAGTTGTTATTCTACATTGGATGTCTTAGCAATAATTCTTTAACAACTCTGCATAAATTTTTGAATGAAAATATGGGTATCTGAACATGTGAATTCTGGTCTGAATTACTAGGCATCCATATTTCTCTTAGTGTCTCTATAGCTGTTACACAATTTATGTTATTTAGAATTTTTAATTAATGTTTTAAAAGGGCATATCTGTTTATACACATAGTGAATGTAACCAAACCCCTGCAAGTATAAACTGGACCAATATATACAAGTGAAGCTATCTGACAGATAAACAGAGGAATCTGATTTTAATATAAAAGGAATGAAAAACAAACTTCCCAGCTAGCAATTGTTTTGAAAAACATATAAAATATTATTTAATAATAATTAGGTAAATATACCTTAAATGATTATTTTACTTATTCAGTTAACCCAGTGGTGCCCAAAGGAAAATACATCCTTATGTTCTGAAATCTAATCTACTTTGTCTAACAAGTTATTTTTAAAAAATCAGGTTAAGTTACTTCCAATACAAGTGAATCAAAGCACTTCATTCTCCACAACAGACTTCTGGCTCATCCAGATGTAAATAAACCTCAGTTCTAATCCATAGGCATCTAGTCCTCACTATTTAGTAAAGCAAGACAGTAATCTCACCATTGTCTTTAGCAATGCCACATTAAAAGAGAAGGCTGTGTTTATAGATCTACCTCCTAGAAAATTCCAATAGTACTTTAAAAAAAAACAGCAGAACTTTTATGTGTGTTTCTATTTCACCTTTATTTCCTTTTCCCATTTTCCAGATAAATTCCAAAAGAAATATACTTCCTTCAAACAACTATCCCTAATTAATCTCGGGAAACCATTAACTATTTTCCAAACCTGAAAAAGTCCTCCAAATAGTCCTCTGAAAAACCTTTCATGCACATATTTCCAATTTAATATACCTCCGTTTGAGACAGAAGAATAGCTTGCAAGACATCTCCTTTCTAGCATCCTCCAGGAATACTGCTCAGGGAAACAGTTGCCAGTATGGGGTGGGGGTGGGGGGTTAGGAAAAGGAGCAAATGCTCAAGAAACCCCAAAGCCAGGCAAAAATGCAAAGGATGCCAATACCCTCCCCCACCCCTACTCCAGGCGAGTACCCACCGTAGCATGACGAAGAAAGAGGTCTTATGGATCTGATCTGCAATCCTACTTGTAGCCCACAGTTCCCATCTTCTTAAAAAGGAAATTGATGCTGCTGCCGCTCCCCAACCTCACAGGCTTCTGCCCTGAGAGGCTGAGATACACTGGGTTCTCAGTGCCCAGTACCTTGCTGCGCCTGGGCTGGGAGCTTTGTGGCCATGAGACTAGAGCTATCCCAGAACGAGGAACAAATACATACACCATTTGATTGCGCTGAAACCCATGTCTCTTTGTTGTTCATCATGTAGCTGCGGCTTTATTTGTGAAAGGGGGAAGTGAGGAAGGGAATGGGGGGCGGGGAGGAGGAATCCCCAGGACCTTATCTACAATCTAAATAGTCGTGGCAAGATCTCTCGGAGTGATCAAGGCGATGGGATAGCCCGGTGTCTCCCAGGCGGCGGTCTAACAATAAAACCTGATGGTGTGGGGGGGGGGGGGGGGGGGGACCCCACATCTCCGACTAGCGCCACAATCGGGCTTTGTGCCAATTAGGAGACACTGTAGACGATCGATCAGAATCGTCTATTATCAGAGCGTGCGTCTGGGGTTCCTGCGTGGCCCTTATGCTTGGTGGTGAAAGCGGGACACGCGCCAGGCGCCCAGCGAAGGACATGGGACAATGGCCCAACCCGAGGACGCGGGAGGCCGCCCGACGCGGGGATGGAAGCTCCAGGAGCGGGTTCAGGAGCGCGGAGGCTAAGAGGGCGGCGAGCTCTGGAGGTGCGCTGCCGCCTTAAAATAAAGGACCACAAAGACTCCACCGTGGGGGAAACGCGCCTGGCTAAGGCGAGTGGGGACGACTTGGGGAGGGGGTTGAGAAAGGTGGGGGGCACACGAGCCAACGGTGGCTCACGGCTCCCCCTTTCTCCCCCCTCTCTCTCCCCTCCCCGCCGGCTGCTCCCGCAGACAAATAACAGAGGAAGGCGAGTCACTCACCGTGGTCTTGACCGGCACGTAAAGCACTTGCTTGGCGCAGCCGCCGCCCCCGCGGACCTCGTCCGGCTGGCCCAGCTGGAAGCCCTTCGATTTGACCCAGAATTTAAATTTGGCGTTGTCCGTGGAGCTCGACTCGGAGCCGTTGAGGAGCTGGACGATCCGCTCGTATTTTTTACGGGTCACCGTCTTGGTCTTGCCTGAGTCCCCGTAAGTCCTGAGGCACCAGTCCTGGAACTGGCGGTACATGTCGCGCTCGCTCTCCATGTTCCCCGCTCCCGGCCGTCGGCCGGATGCTCCCAGCGCACTTCGCACCTGTTCACCCCGGGCTCATGAAAAATGCAGCCCGGGCCACGATGTAGGGACGCGAGGTCCCGGCAGCCGCCGGAGCCTGCCTCGGGTGGTGGTGGGGGGGGAGGAATGGGGAGAGGGGAGGAGGGTCCGGCTGGGCACCAGCAATCAATGCCCTGTGCTACCAAGTCTCTGGTTCATTCGTAATTGCAACGGATGTCTCGGACGCTTGTCTCGGACGCTTTTCTCGTCCTCTTAGTGATGGGTCTCTTTAATATTGTGTGACTAGGACCATCCCAACAGCATCCGGCCCAGAGGAACTGGGTTTTAAATAATTAAAATCCCATTCCTTGGTTTATTAAAATCCCAATATTGACTTGGGGTGGTCCCTGGAGCCTCGCCCCGGGGCTGTGTCCCGGGCAGGGCAGGTGCAGCGCTGCGCCGCCTCCCCGCGCGCGCCCCAGAAGCTTCCCCAGCCGCTGGCCCCACCGTCCAGGAAGCGAGGGCTGAGCTGCTCTCGAAAGCAGCGCCGGGCTGAGCGCCTGCGAGCCCCGAAGGGCACCCAGGTCCCCTGGCTCTCCTTCCTCCAGGGTCCCGTTCCGCTTCAGCCTTCCCGGCGTGGGGCGTTCAGGGACTAGAAAGAGAGAAAGTTCTTACCTGTCATGTTGTTAAGCCTATCAAATCCTGCTACACAGGGAATTTTTAAGGTATTTTTAAAATGGTTTAAAATGTCATTTCTTCATATGCAGTTAGGCTAAATTCCAGCCCTGCAGGTAGATTCCAGGAGTTAAGTCCCAGAATTAGCAACATTCATGGATATTTGGCCATAGTTCTATAGGAAAGACTGTGGTACCCCAAACAGATATCCGTTCCAGGGGGATGTGGGTAAACGAAAGCAGGCCGCTGGCGGCGGGTCTCCCGGATAATGATGGGGTCCCCAGACAGGACTTCTCTGGTTTCTGCTGAACTGGGTACAAGGCATAGAAGTAAGTTTATAATACAGATGCTTAAAACCCTTTGCATGAAATTAAAATAGATTATTTTCCCCTTGCTTGGTTACAGTTTGCAGTACACACAGGAGGTTTCGTATGTCTATTTTCCCCCTGCCACGTCATGGACACCCCTCCACTGCTCAGAGTAGCCAAATATGAGTTCCTCTGGACGATTTTCTCAAGCAAATGAAATCAGCGGCTCCTCCATTCAGGATTTCCACCCGTTTGTTACAGAGCTGGAAATAGGGGAGTTCCCATCCTCCTCGCGCTGCGATTGCGGCCGCTCCTCTTTATTCTACTCTCTGCGGAGGCCCGCGCCCGTCCCGGGAGGCGGCTCTGCCAGGAAGGCGGCCCGACCAGTGCCCCGCGCCTGGTCCGCGGACTAGCCCACCTTCGCCCCTTGTCGTCGTCTCCAAGACGAAAGCCCCGAATGGGAACGCGGAGTGTTTGTACCCACTGCGCCGCAGCTGGTCCCGGCACTTGCAAAATGGTCAGTGGCTCCCGCTCGGCCAGGCTGAGTGTGTGCGTGTGTGTGAGCAAGGGAGCGAGGGTGTGCGGTGTGCGGGGGGTGCGCTGTGTGTGCGCGCGTCTCCGGGAAGGTCTCGCGGCTGCTGGAGCCGGGACTGACAGCCCGGGCGGAGCGCGAGCAGCTCCACACACTAAACCTCTCGCCTCTCCCCTCACCCCCACCCCTCCCACTCCCCTCTCTCCCCCCCCCCGGCCCCTTCCAAGCTCTCTGATTGGCCAATGGGACAAAAGTTTCTGTGGAGACGGCTGGGCGCTGACGTCACGGGCAGAATTGTCCCATTTAGGGATCCCGGGGGCAGTGCGCATGCTGCAGGCTGCAGGTTAGAGGCAGGAGGAGGTAGCAGCGGGCGCGGCGGCAGCCAGGTGGCGGAAAGGAGCACTCAGCATCCAGGTGGGGGGACGACTCCAGCAGGGTTTCCATGGAGATTCCTCTGGGTCTAGCCTAAAAACAGCAGATCAGCTGACACCATTAGCTCAGGACCTAATTACTGCTTATTGGAGCAACAAATGAGGGAGAGGGCCAGCTGCAAAGGAAGAGTTTCTATCCTCCCCCCCACCCTCCCACCCCGACTCCTCCTTTCTCCCTTCTCGGTCGCTCTTGAGTCCCGGGTGAATTCTCATTAACTTGCAAGATTCCTGCAACAACAGCTACCCTTCTCTAGAGGCCACCGGACTGCTTTTATTCTTTTTATATCTTTTGTATAAAAAATTGCTAAAATAAATCAGTTGTCCTGAGTCCTTGAATTTTTGCCCAGTAAATATTAGACCAGTAGAGCTCAGAGTCCACTGTCTAATAGAAGTCACAAGTGGATCTAATATAAGGGTGGGGGGAGGCAGGGAGGAAAAAACACCTTAAATGTGTTCAATTAGGCATTTATCTTTAGGCCTTTCACATTTAAAAAAAATTTTTCAATATCTTAAGCAGATATGTGGAATAAGGAATTGGAAATTTTGAATCACCCTTGTGTGATATACCTCACAGGAACACTATTACAAGTTTACCTTGTGGCATCAGAGATAGAGGATAATTCCAAGTTGGGAGATCAAGGTTGTGTTGTATGTTAGTTAAATGTTTCCTAGAGGATTCTGGAAGTATAGCTGATCCTAGAGTGGTCAATTCATTTAAGAGTAAGCTGGTTCTATAGAGTTACTTTCTTTTATGGTTATAACTTAATTCATGATTTCTGGATTCTTTTTGGTAACTCTTTCATCTGAAGAGTCATCTCATCTCCTCTAAGTCTCATTCAAGTACTTTCAGACCCGTAAAGCCTTCTTTCCTTGACTACTCAAGTTAAAACAGTCTGTGTCTCTAAAATCCGGATAAGTGTCTTTCAACCATTTTTTAACCTTGTCTCATAGTAAGACATATACATTACATTGACACATAGTGCATTCATACATCTATCCTCCAAAAATGTTATGAGAAAACATATTTTATTACATGGAATACACACTGATAGTTACCTGATCCTGTCCTATTATTATCATTACTATTTGGTAAAGTGTAGTCCTAACCCAATAAATTTATGAAGCAGCAAAGGATGCCTGGCAACCTATAGTCTGGAAAATATTGTTTTAGATTATATGAACTACACCACTCCTCGTACTATATTTACAGTTTCACATGAGTACGTTTGTTCAAATAGAATCTTGATTGGAAGACCCTTGAGAGTTTATATTTTCTTGTTTTCTAAGTAACTCCACCATAATTAACAATGCCCACAGTAAGTGCTTCATAAATAGATACCGAGTTAGTTAATAAAGAGAAGAGAAAGAGAGGAAAGGAAGAAATAAGCAGGAGGCACAATCCTTAGCAATTCCTTTTGGCTTTTGCTGGATGGTATTTGGATGAAGTTGGTTCCCACTTAAGGACAGATGAAGGCCTTACTGTGTTCATTATATTTATGATTATACTTGGCATTCTAATGTATGGAAATTAAAACACTTTGGACATAACACATAGGATGAGAGCAAATATGTCCCCAACCCCCAGCTGTATTAACTGGATTTGGTATACAAGCAAAAAAACAAACAAACAAACAAGAAAAAAAACCCCACACAAATTAAGCGATTTTAAAGATTTTTTTTTTTAGAAGGAAAAGGTAAATAATTCACTGTTGAAAGAATATTTGCCCTGGACTAAAAAAATAAAGTCCCAGGACTGTAAGGGTCAAGCTTCTCAGAGCCATGAAGATTCTCTTGCCTCCAATGGAACCTAAAGTGTGTTCTATTCTCTACTTATTCTCTTTATTAATTATGCGATCTAAATCAACATTTTTTTACCACATCTTTCCTACTTAAGAGCATAAGCACCTGACAAAAATCTAAAATCTGCTTCAGCAACTCACCCTAGACTCATTTCTCTATTTTTCTAGAGCCAGGTCTTCCCAGTTCCACCTGGAGGGTCACATTGACCCTTTCCTTCAGCTATATGATTAATTTGACAGGCTGCCTGGAATTTAATTTGGCATTTCCCCCAAGACACTTTTTCAGATTTACCTCTCTAAGAGCACATCTCCCCAAAAAGTGACTCTTCACCCCCATATGTGAGCACCAACTCCTAACCCCTGCCCAGGGTCCTGCCTGCTATTTATAGGGAGAAGAAATCAGAAAGTATTTTACCAGAAAATAATATTTTAATTAAAGATAATCTAAATTTTCAGCTATAATCAACATGATTTTGTTATGAAAGTAAAACTTCCAACCTCAGGGTCAGTTTGGGTACGACAATTTGAAAAATCTGGAAACTCTTATATTTGAATATCAATCAGAAATATTTATGCACCACCACATATTCATCAGCAAAATGTTGTAGTCCAAACAACATATAATCTGTAATCATAAAATAAATGTTCAAAGAATAAAAAAGCCTTCAACATATAATTATGCTTTTATTCAACAAATATTTACTGAGTGCCAATTACTTGGATAGGCTTTAAGGTTCAAGTAGTCAACAAGACATGTATATATACATTGTACTCATCTAATGGAGCTTAAATTTTTCTCAGGAAAATACAATAAACAAGGAAGCAAATAGCCCTTGAAGTGAAAGCTAAGAGGGGGAAAATGGTGCCATAATAGAAAACAGTGGCAGAATGGGGAGACTTCGTAACTCAGGGAAGATCTCTGAGTACGTGACATTTATCATGAGACCTCAAGAATACAAAGGGATCAACCATCTGAAGAGCCAGGAAGGGAAACTACAGGCACAGCACAAAAGTCCTACGGCAAGAGTTATTGGCACATTTGAGGAATAGAAAGAAGCCAGTGCCAAGTGGAGCTTACTGAGCGTGGACGGAAGAGTACGGGAATGGCGATCTGATAGTCTTCTGTGGCCAGATCTTGTAGGACGGTGCCTGCCATGATAAAGAGTTTGCATTCTATTATTGATCCAGCAGAAAGTTAATAAAGGATTTAAAGCAGGAGAATTATGTGATATGATATGCGTTTTTATGT